AGACACTTTTGGCGACAAAATTGGGGTTTTCAGACGATGATAAACTACCCCTCGAGTCGTGGTAATTCTCAGCAGTCTGACATCAGAATGTGAATGAGAATCATTATTTGCGGAAAATGCGAAGGGCACAACATCGATGGAAGTGAAGAGAAGTTGCTCAAAAATCTGAGCAATTGCACAGAAAGTAGGCTACAGTGAAAGCGTGAGGCGTAAACGAAAGTGCGGGAATATTAAAGGTGGACGATTTAACGTTTGTAGAGATGGCTCTTCACTCGAAAGCAGAAAATTGAAGAGCAACATTTATACTGTGACCAAGTTGGTCACAGTAGCAAAAATGACCAGCCGGAAGACGTGCCAGCAATGTTGACGATGTATTTATAGTGAGCGAAGAACAATCGGCAAGACAGCACAAGTAGGCCTTGCGTGAACACAAGTATGCATTGAAATAGCAATCATACATGGCAAAAAAGTACTTGTCGAAGAAGCTGGCACCACGAAATTGATCGGTTTGGGTGGAAAAGAATTCTGTTTGATTGAAGATTTGTATATCCGAGGACTTAAAAAAAGATTGATGGTGGTTGGCAAGCTTGCGGAACGCGGTATGAGTGTGGAGTTTTTGCGATTGTCGTGTGCCATCTGCGATAAAAGGCGAGTTAATCGGGTTCAAGAATCGTTACAGCGTACTGTAAGCAGGAAAAAGCATGTGGCCTGATGTATCGCAGGACTGGTACTTAATGGGAAATTCGGCATACCCGCATGGCAAACTTAAATAATGATGCTTTACTGTAGACACAGCGCCCGATCAAAAGGCATCTCAATGGTAAAACAAGAAACAAAAACATTATGTGCCGGATATTTGAAGGGGGAGTAGACAATCACGCCATTTCCCTCACGTTCGATGATATAGACGATATATGTGCTGGAATGCGTGCACATAAAATTTATGGGACCTTCCTCAAAGGGAGTTGCAGAAAAATTCCCTATTTTATGGATAAAGTGTAAGATTTGTTGCAATTTTCTTGATTAAGCGCAATCTTAAAGAATTTGGCATGCTCAAGAAATTCATAACTTTATACGAAGATCAGTGGTGTGTTCGTCTCAAAAATGTTTGATATCTGATTACAGAGTAGCTTTTGTGACTGAAACGATGGTCGTCATATGTCGACCGATCGGTATCGTTCACCAACGTTCAACTCTATACAGCTCTCAGCAATATGGGGTGGCGAAGCGCATACACCAGACTATCATGTAGAAGGCCCTCAATATGTGTTACACTTAAGACGTTGATTGGTGGGCGGACACAGTGAATACAACCGTTTATTACTTTCTAATTGCTCGACAAATATAGCATCCCGCCATATGAGTTGTTTTTGATGAATATATTACTTTCGCGTGTTTTGGTCACCGGTTACGCTGCTGTTAACGATGCAAATAGATCAAGCTCAAACCCAGGAGCTTTAAACGCATGTCTATCTGTTAATCAGGATTTTCGCGTGTTCAACATGCCGAGGGAAGAGTGACCCATTCTGTCACGCTGAATGAGCGCAAAATAGGCGATTTTTACGACACGCATGCGCGATTACAGTTTCGCTTATCAACGCATACGCGTCAAGAAGATCGTTAAGCGTTTCGGCCTGGTGAGGAGCAACAAGACGAAGACATGAGCCGATGTTCGTGCTATGGATCAGCTGAAAAGATGAAAAGGCAACGGAAGTAAGTGATGGCCCTTC